TGAGCGCAACAGCGCTAACAACATGTTCGGGTGGAGCAAACGAGCATGGTGTGCAGGAATTCACGCGACCGTCTGACCAGAACAGCGTTGCAGCCAGTGGTCTTTGTGAAATACGCTGGGAGCGGTACACATGAGCATCAGCTCGAAGAAAGCAACGCCCTGGTAGCTGACACGAGTCGCGATACTTCAGGTGAAGTATCCCACAGCGACGCCACACATGCGGCTTGATCTCCACGCTTGGACGGCAGCTTGGAGCCAATAAACTTGGTCCATTTGGCGTGGAAGGTCGTATCTTCACCCGGTTGGGACGCAGCGAGGATCCGGTTAAGAAGCAACAGCTGTGCCACATCCTGAAAAGTGCAGTCTTGATCACACACGGATGGCGTGATTTAATGGGAGTGGTGATTGGCGAGCAAACTGGATCAGTTTGTCCGCATTCGTAGCCGAGTTGAGTACCTTGTGCGCCGATGTCACACGCGATTCCGCCATATGACGGCGATCTGGGCGGAGGACCAATTGGACGTCGGCAACATCACCGATCATGGCTTCAGCAGTTTCCGCAACCGGAATCGGTTTTGAGGGCTTCACAATTTTTGTATGATGCTTGGTCAGGAAGGGCGAGGCCTTGACCGACTTCTTGACTGCATCGGGGACATGGACTACGGTAGGCTTGATTTGAAAACTTAGACCGAGATCAGGACTAAGATGCGACTCGACAAGCTCGTATTCCATCTCGATTTGCTCGAGCACACTGAAATAGTTGTTAGTAGTAACACCAGTTACATCCTTGGGGCTTTCATTTGCGGTGAGATGCGAGAAATCATCTGCACTTCGCAAACGCTTATTCTTGCGGCGACGTACAATAATCGTGGTATCAGCCACAGGGCCAAGACGGCTGGGAGGACTGGGTGGTGGTGTAAGCATTCGACCTGATGGACTACTGATCGAGAGACCGCAATGGGTGGGAGAACAACAAGAGCCGTTGACGAGGGTGCCGGGACTGCTGTAGTTCTGTCACAATGGCACGCTTGAGCAAGGAGTCTTAGTGCCGAATAGCTTGCGACGTAGGCTGACTCGGACGAGAACGGGAAAGGTCTTGAGAGGACTGGACCGGACTCTCACGCAGCGGTGGGTGGTATGTTAAATCGATTGCATACGCAGAGCAGTAACCTAACGGCAGACGCTTAGATAGGTATGGAGCGTTCTTCCCATGTGCAGGAAACAAACGCCCACCAAACATAACTTGGTCGCATACAGTGCCATTTTTCATGACAGGAAAGGGACAGGACGTTGACACAAAGTACACAGGCTACGTGGCCGTCGTGATGTCAGTGGCAACGTTGACCTCGCGGAAAGTGTCGTACAGCGGTCGGCATCCCAGTTCAAACGAACGCTTCATCATGCAGTCGGTGTCTAGGTCACTGTCGATGCTGGATACATCGAGAAA